CCTTGCACGTCGCCCCGGTGGTTCCCTCGTCCCTATCTCGTTTCTCGTGGACCTTCGGCCTCGACACGCCTCTGGCGCCGTGGAAAATATGTGCGAACGCCGATCGGAGCAATTAGTATTTCTCCGGACTCTAATCTGGGCTCGCTCGAGCGCGGCAAATGCGCGTCTTTCGCGCGGTGCATGTTACCCGTGCAACATGTCGGCGAATAAGGAATAAAAAAAGAGGATAGACGGAGGAAAGAGAGAGAGTATGATTCGCGAGAGAAGAAAGGGGAGGGGGCTAGTATTGCGAGATGCGCCGAGTTCAAGAGAGAGAATAATAAAAAAAAAACAGAGTAAGAGAGAAAAGAGGGGAATGGAAAGAGATGGTTGTAGGATAGAAAGTAAGTGGTAGGATCCGAAGCGGTCCGTTGTGTATATCGCGCCGCGTGAACTGACCGAGCAGATAAAACCGCACGGCGGTGGAGAGAACGGCGGTGAAAGAGCGAGTAGGGGAAGAGAGGGACCGCAGGAAAGGAAAGTGAGAGAATATCTCGACCGACACAGAAGCCGACATTGCTAATGACTCTGTCCGCGGTAATCTCCGGGTGTTATCTGTCCTGGCTACCTGGGGGCCCACCTACTTCGAATCACGAAGCTGCACACGCTGCTGCTGCGTCTCTCTTCCTTGCGCATCTCCCCCCTTCCTCTTGTCCCCTCATCCCTGTGCCATCAGGATCACGGAATCCGGAGATCTCTTTAGATGCGCATAAAAAAATTTATGAGCGTATAACAACTTCAAATCTATTTTTCTGATTTTAAATTACTTTCTTTCTCTTTTTTACACAAATAATATTTAAAAGACGGGTAAAAAACGAGAGTAAAATAAATCGAAAAACGTAAAAGATTAAAAAAGATGGACAATGAAAAATATAGGGATAAAATAATTCGTCGTTGGTCAGCCGAGAACGAAGGCGAAGGCGTGCAACAAAGCCTCGCCATTACTGTCTTTAGTGTTTGGTCAACTGATCGTACAGAAGAGCAAACAAATCTCTTGGGCTGAAAGGGCCTGCTTCGGTGAGAGACTGAAAATAAGGACTTTAAGCAGCACCGGCGGTGGTATCGCGAAATTCTTTCGCCGTAGCGAGGAGCAAAAAGCGAAGTGTAAAACGCGCTTCGACGTATTGCAAAGACGAGAACTGTGAACTAAAAGATAGGACGGGTTACAGGAAAAAAGAGAAAGAGAGAGAGAGAGAGAGAGAGAGAGAGAGAGAGAGAGAGAGAAAGACAGGAGAGGAAAAAGCCGGCGCTTTTCACTTTGAGAATCAAGGAGTTGGCCGATGGTCCGAGGATTACTTAGCCGTCGGTACATCAGGTAACAGTGCATGTGCGGTTTAGTTTGCAGTCCTTGCGAATGCACGTATCTCCCGTATGTGCGCACTCTCATCGGCTTACGTACACACGTGTGTGTACATACGATCTCCGATACACACATACGCACACACACACATACACACATACACGTACACGCATTCGAGATCGAGTAGATATCTGAACGAATAACGCGAGAATAACGAGAAAAGATATACTGGTAAAAAGTCATCGGACGGAAAGAAGAGAAAGGGGTGGTTCGCGTATATGTACGATACGTGGGGGAGTAAGCGAAGAGGGCGAAAGAGGGTGGTTCTTGACGACGAGTGTGGCGCTACCTCGGCAGAAAGCGGCGGAGGAGCGAAACTTTTCGCCGAAGGCGAGGGTGCGAAAGGGAGAGAGCTCGCTTGCCACGTAAGGGTGCGACGAAGAAAAGACGAGGAGGCGACGGGGGTGGAACGCACCGGAGCGAAAAGGGAAGGTGGTGGTAAGGTTGGTCGTCCTGGTATCGACCGCCTGAAAAAGGGGTGGATTTTTCTATCCCTAGGAGGACATGTTCTGGACGCGAACGCGACTGGCCCATCTCGGGACCTTCGTCACACGAAATAAAAATAAAAGTAGACTGTCTCGGTGATATTTCGTCGCATTTAGTAATGCGGCACAAAAATAAATTTCTCTACTTCGCGTCATCAATCACAAAGAGAGAGAGAGAGAGAGATTGAAAATTTTTCAATATAATTTATAACTTTCA